TATTACACATTCATTCATTATATGCACCCGCGATTAGTAATGAGGGACAACGTGACCTCCTGCCCCTCAACACTTAGAAGTCAAACCCCGCTTGTGTGGCTACATTGCCCCCCTCCCGTCCAAGTAGAATTTTGTTTCGCCTGAACTTAAAACACGGTTCTGAGACGTAAACGTAAAATGAACATCAGTATTTTAACACAATTGTCAATTTTTTGTGAGGTATATACTAACTTGGCTATTAACTGCAAGCGAATTATACAACAATAATGTAATTCAACGGGACGCCGCTCTGCGCGTCTCGCTGTTTGCTCTTAGCAACCACGTGGTCTACGATCACTGGGTTTTGAAAGGTATTTTACATCTTTATGGGTTATCGCATTGAGATTACAATTTCTAACGTTGTTATCTTTAATCGGCAGATTCATACAACATGATTATTCACCAATGGCTCTCATGCGTGATACAGTTTTACACGTCAATCACCTCACGTGACCCCATTGGGACATTGCCACTTACTCCCAGGGGTCCGCGCACCCGGGTTGAGAATGACTGTGTAGTGTATAGTGTAGTGTAGTGTAGTGTATAGCGTAGTATAGCGTAGTGTATGTGTAGTGTATAGTGTATAGAGTAGTTTATGGGTTGAATATTCGGTTCATACATTTTCATGCACGTGCACGTGTTTATGTACACAAAGATCCCCCGTATAGCCTTAACCAGACTGTAGGGGCAAGTGCTGTTAGCGAGCAACTTATGAAGGCCAGAACGGTACACGAGGGGTTGGTGGCCAGCACCACGCCCGACCGCCTTTGTCTCCCGTAGAGGCGATGTTTACACATCACAACCAGGTAATTATTTCAAGCTGAGTCGACCTAGGGGAGGCCCAGGACCGGTTCAGATAATCGTCACAGGGTGTTGTTCCGTGAGCGGGAATCGAACCCGGGTCGCCAGGTTCGTAGCGCAGCGTGCTAACCGCTACACCACCGCTCCCCACACCCACGCATACGTGTTGTACGCGTGCATGGCCTGCATACACATGTACACGTGTGCATGGTACAATCCACTGCTGGAATGAGCGCATCTCCCCATGCCACCATGTCTGTCGTAAGAGATGTTTTTCGTCGCTGCAGGGATTGTGAAGACGGAGAGCGTGGATGTGGGAGCGTATAACTACAGTACAACGATCAATTATTTTCCACTCCCCTCCGTTGCACGGTATGCGCGCGGCGACTACGAACCCGGCGGACACCCGAGTTCGATTCCCGCTCACAGGGCAACAACATTGGCGATATCTGAATCGTTCCTGGGCTTCCCTAGGTCGACTCAGCCTCAAATGAGTACCGGGTGCGGTGTGTAGTAAACATCGCCACTGGGAGACAAAGGCGGCCCGAGCATGGTGATGGCCACCCACCCCCTTATTGGCGCTCGCTAACGGCCACTTGCCCCAACAGTCTGTTAAGGCTACACGGGTGATCTTTGTCTGTTGTTGCCCACCTGTTGTGCATGGTGGTCACCGATCTAAGCGTCATCCGGGCTCAACTCTGGGTAACTTCCGAGATCTGATGAGATCGGCCACATTCTGGGTGAGGATTCTGAGTAATGAATTAATAATTGATCAGTGATTATGAAATAAACGGAAAGCCGTCTGTGAAAAATAAAATGTTATTCAATCAGGCCTTCTTGACTCCAGCAGCATTTGTTTAAGGAGACAAACTTCGGTTGCAACTTTTTTGAAACTCATCATCTCATGGGGTGGAGTGCTGTTTTGTGAATCATTTTCATATTGTTTTCGATTTACGTGCTATGAAAGTAGGGCAATTGCTCAAAACGTCGCATCTTATAAACATTTCCTTTTAAGGCCGCAGCGTTATTAATGAATGTGAGTATATATTACAGGACGGGTCTCTTAGAATTTCTCTTACTTGATACAGCAATCGTGCTGTGACGGTTCCACCTGAAGACGGAAGCTTGTGTTGCCTCCGAAACGTCGTGATTTTTATTTTACTTTTATTATTTTTTATTTTACCTACGTGACTTTACCGAAAAAACCTAAGAGTATAGTTTATATTTTATTTTGCATCGTCATTTCATCAGCAGGGTGCCGACGAGGACTGCTGATGAGCAGACTCGGAATTCCTGAAACTACAACAACATTGGTGCAGAGGACCATAGATTGATGGACTAAAATATTCATTCACTTTGGTGTGGAGGGTCATACTCTTGGATGCTTATTATTCGTTTGAATACGCCCAATAAGTAACCGGCAGTCACGTTGCAAGTTCGCTAATGTGGCCTCAAAGCACTCTGTACAACGACATAAGTATAACCCGTAAAACAAAGTTTTTCACTCTAATCCTTTATATGCGTGGCGGCTAGAGTCCTCTCGTCCTCTGGCTTGAGATGGCTGCCACCTCTGGGTCAGATGATTGTCTGCAGTATAACCAATTGGTAATTAAATATTTAATTTGTTTTCCCTAAACAGTGTAACATTTTGGAAAAAATTTTCACGAACATTAATTGTCTCGCACAACGAGTCTGTGTGCAAAATGTCAGCTCGATTGGATCACGGGAAGTGGGTTAAAAAAACGAGCGAAAGATTTGCACGGTCCTAAGCAAGCAAGCGAACTTAATATAAAGGATTTTAAAATATATTCGCCTGTGGAGGACGCGGGGATCGATCCCGCGACCTTTGGCATGGGAAGCGAGGGCGCTACCAACTGCGCTACTCCCGCCACGGCCTGTGGAGGGGTTACGCTCTGGGCTCTTACACCTCTGACGTTCAGCCAAAGCCATGAATGCGTTCTATTTGATATATGTAAAATAAAAATGTTTTGCCTAAAAAGTGTAACATTTTGGGAATTTTTTTCATGAACAATAATGTCTGGCACAACGAGTCTGTGTGGAAAATGTCAGCTCAATTGGATCACGGGAAGTGGGTTAAAAAACGACCGAAAGATTTGCACGGTCGTAAGCAAGCAAGCAAGCACGCAAGCAGCGAACTTAATATAAAGGATTTAAACAATTAACCCGTAATAAGTATAACCAGTAAAACAAAGTTTTTCACTATAAATCCTTTATATGCGTGGCGGCTAGAGTCCTTTCGTCCTCTGGCTTGAGATGGCTGCCACCTATGGGTCAGATGATTGTCTGCAGTATTAACAATTGGTAATTAAGAATTTAATTTGTTTTCTCTAAACAGTGTAACATTTTGGAAAAACATTTTCACGAACATTAATTGTCTCGCACAACGAGTCTATGTGCAAAATGTTAGCTCGATTGGATCACGGGAAGTGGGTTAAAAAAACGACCGAAAGGTTTGCACGGTCGTAAGCAAGCAAGAAAGCACGCAAGCACGCAAGCAAGCAAGCGAACTTAATATAAAGTATTTAAAAGGAGAGTCATTTTGCATCATACTTTACTGGCTGGAGTAGTGGTGCAGTGGTTAGCGAGCTGCACGATGAAACCCGAGCGGTCACCTGAGTTTGATTCCCAGCCAAGTCTGACAAGTGGCAAGTGATATATCTGAACAAGTTTCCGATCACTTGATACAGCTATCGTGCTGTGACAGTTCCACCTGAAGACGGAAGCTTGTGTTGCCTCCGAATCGTCGTGTTTATTTTATTTTTATTTTACTTGTATTAATTTTAGTTTTTTACCTACGTGACTTTACCGAAAAAAAACCTAAGAATAAGTTTCCGATCACCACCACTTGGCCAAACAGCGCTCACTAGACCAGTGTGGTGAAGTATGGTCCAACAACCTCCCTTGATCGTCACAGCGAGAGAGATCTCCATCGGGCAGCGGATTGACGACGGTGCTTTGAGTGATGATCTGTGGATTACAATTGAATTATCTTTACTCGATACAGCAATCGTGCTGTGACGGTTCCACCTGAAGACGGAAGCTTGTGTTGCCTCCGAAACGTCGTGATTTATTATTTTAATTTCTATTACATTTATTATTATTTGTATCATTTATTTTTTTACCTACGTGAGCTTTTCAACCTCGTTACATTTTTTTTTCCGCGTCTCATCATTCCCCCCAAGCCAACCACCTCGCCACCGCGCCTGCGAAACACAACCACGAGAGAGAGAGAACGGCAAACTGCACCCTGAGCGGTGGCTTCCTCATCCAGCCGGGGCTGAGCACAGCGGCCAAGCACTCGTCACGCCTCGTCAGGATACCAGGTCAAGACAATCTCGTTGTTCGGGAAGGGGAGGGGGGGGGGAGAATCGAGCGGGCCATTCATCCCTTCATCACACAAACCGAATGAGGACCACCTGGTAGGGATGTGAGTATGATTCAAAATTTGAAGCTTTCGTGCCTGCAAGGATTCATACTTTCAGGTTATTTCGGGTAAAGTCACGTAGGTAAAAAATGAAATTAAAATAATAAAAATAAAATAAAAATCACGTCATCAGGTGGGTGCAGCAATCTGGCTGTGACGGTCCCACCTGATGACGGAGACTTGTGTGCCTCCGAAACGTCGTGATTTTTTATTTTATTTGTATTAATTTTAATTTCATTTTTTTACCTACGTGACTTTACCGAAAGAACTAAGAGTATGTGAGTATTGGTAGTACTATGGTTAGACGTCGCCCCCCCTAGCTCCCTGCCATACCCGTTGGTGTACGGTGCTATTTCTGCAATATTTAGCTGTATTTTCTTGGATTTTCTGTTTGCACATAGTCACTTTAAGATGTTTTTCTTGTTCATGTTTTGTTTTTTTGTTTGTTGCGGTTGCACCCGATTCAAGAGCCGAATGGCTCACAGGGCTATACCTAATAATGAAACTTGAAACTTGATACCCACCTGACTTGAGGCATCCCGATGGTTCATCTGGCGATCTGTTTCCCACGGATTGCGGTGTTCTCTGCATCGCGAGGAAGAGACCTCGCTCCGGAGAGATTGTGTGGTCCCCCCCCCCACCTAACCCACGGCTGTTTCCATCACTCTTGGCCCTGTCGATGTTTCTCTAAGTCACGACTGAAAACTCCGCGTCCATGCCCGTGAAGCCACGAGCCCAGGACTCGGTGCAGGGTGTCAGTCTGCTCACCCTCATTCTGTTGTGTCTGGAAAGCACTTTGTGTTGTGTGTGTGCGTTTGTATTTACGGAGTGTTGAATGTTCACGTGTGATTTTTTTAATGAAAGGTACTGTGTGTGTATATATAATGTGTATATAAGAAAAATGATATAGAATTATAAAAAAAAATACTCGTGGAATTTTCACTGGATGTCGGAGCTGTGTAAAAGGATGGTCCTTATTCGAGTGGTGACTAATTTTATCTTAATGATACTTATAGAGCGCCTTTACCCACAGGCACATCATACAATTGTATATAGCATGATAATACTTTAAATAAGCATTGGGTTCTTCTTCTTGGTTCTTTCGTAAAGTCACGTAGAAGGGGAAATAATAAATAATAAAATAAAACATAATAAATAATTCTCACGACGTTTCGGCCACAACGCAAGCAGCCGTCCTCAGGTGAAAGAGGGTCCTCAGGTGAAGAACAGGTCTGTCGGGGAGACCAGCGGGAAGACAGCGTCTTCCCGACGGACCTGTTCTTCACCTGAGGATGGCTGCTTGCATTGTGGCCGAAACGTCGTGAGAATTATTTTATTATGTTTTTTTTCCCCCCTTCTACGTGACTTTACCGAAAGAACAAGAAGATGAATCCCTGCAGTCACGAAAGCTTTAAATCATTGGGTTCTTGTAAGGTGGTGTAGTTGTAATGCAGTAAAGCGTGACGGATTGATAAGGAGGGGCTGGGACAGGCCCGCTCGTGGTTGGGGGCGACAGAAAGCTGGTGGGGTTGAAAGGTAACGAGGCAACATCGAATTGGGAAGACAACGAGGTGGGGGGGGGGGCTGGAGGGAGAAGGGGGCCTTTTATTTTTTTAACCTTTGACGCATTAGTTTGTGCGCCTCTTCCAACAAACAACGGCAACGTTGCCATTGATTTACGCGGCGCGGTTTAACGCCAGTCGTGTTCGGGGGTCGTCTTCCCCGCGCTGTGGCACAGCGATCGAGTGTGCAGGCGGTGCCACTGCGCCGGGGACCTTGGGCTGGAGGAGCCCGGTGAGAGGGGACATTGGCGGAAGTCGTGGGAGGGGGGGGGGGTAGGAGGTGGGGGGTAAAAGTGGGGGGTAGAAGTGGGAGGTAGAAGTGGGGGTAGAGGTGGGGGGTAGAGGTGGGGGGTAGAAGTGGGGGGGGTAGAGTGGGGGGGTAGAAGTGGGTGGGGGGGTAGAGGTGGGGGGTAGAAGTGGGGGGTAAAGGTGGAGGTGTTGAGGTGGAGGGTAGAGGTGGGGGGGGTCGAGGTGGAGGGCAGAGGTGGGGGGGGTAGAGGGAGGGGTAGATGGGGGGTAGAGGTGGGGGGTAGAGGTGGGGGTAGAGGTGGGGGGTAGAAGTGGGGGTAGCGGTGGGGGGGTAGAGGGGGGGTAGAGGTGGGGGGTAGAGGTGGGGGGTAGAGTTGGGAGGCGAATCTTGCCCCTAGGCCCG